CACAACACACACCACACACACACACAGTGAGGCAGAGTGGGAACATTTGTACTATGAGTTGTATGAGGCCGTAGATTAAAGCACTACGAGCAGTCATCATTAATACAACATGATGATATAGACTGAGTATTTTCTAACTGAAGCTGGTTTTTGGGATGAAGTGGAACGAGTGTGTGTGTGTGTGTGTGTGTGCATGTTTAGGTGTGCACACCGGAGTGTGAAGAGCAGAGGACGTTAGTGGAAACAAGCTCTGCAGACAGAACTGGTAATTAAGTAGGCTTATTGTAAAAAAATACAAAATAATAATAATATCTTTTAGCTAGGTAATAAGTAATTAGTATTATCAGATATTGACAAGTACATTTATAATATGTGGGAATGAAAGGAAAATTATTTTTTAATTTAATTTTAATTTTTTTTAATCGAAGAAAAAACTAATTGGAGAGCATTAACAATACATCAAATTAAAACACAGTGGCAGGAGCACTGAATAATGAGAAGAGAACTGCAGGGCGAGTGACAGATGATCATGCACTGCAGTTTAGAGGCAGAGATAATGAATTATTATACTGTAAATTCACCGTTCCTGTATAAACTGTTGATTAGTTTTTTTGGAAATGTACATTATGTAAACTGCTTTTGTGAAATTGTTTCTGATGATTACTCATGATAGAGGAGGACTGTCAGCGTGTCAGCATACGCTTTGATATTAGCTAAATGAAAGGATGAAAATATGCTTGTCATTATGGACTGTTGAAAGGAGACCATGCTATGTTCAGTCTGTAAAGCTTTGACTAGCTTGGCTAACTGCTAGCTGCTGCTGGTCCAACGTAACATAAAACAGATTGAACAAAATGATGGAAATATTGAGATTAGTCCCGTTTACATGTTGGCTATTAAAAGTAAGCCATTCTGTTAAATATACCTTGTTAATACTTCACAATCAATTCAGTATCAGTTATTTTTTTAATCATGGAATGCTAAACTTTTGCTACAGTTAGCGCAAGTAAGCTACAGTATCGTAAGCTAGCTAGGCTAAGACTAATTTTAGCGTATTTGCAGACATCACTGACTGTACTGTAACTGCGTTCAGTAGTAACCTTCTGAAATATGTTACATGTATTGTTATGAATAGTGTTATTAATCTCATTTTAATCTTTTAATGTTTTTAGAAAAAGTCTAGTCCAACTAAAGTTTTGTGGTAGTTTAAAGGGCGCCTTTGGTTCACCTTAAACATGTCAAAGCATTGTAAAACAAATACATTTTAGTGACTCACTTAATGTTTATTTGCTGTCAAAGGCTGCAACGTGTACACTTTCAGGTCAAAACCTCGGGACAATAAATACCAAAGAGGCAATGTGCAGTTTAGTCTGTCAGTTGCAGATGAGATTACCTCTGAGGAAACCTGATAGTGAATGAAAAACATCCGTTGGATTCAGTTTGAAAGATGATTGGTGTAACTGGTCGACCCTGTCTGCTCTCCCAGTGAGATGAATGGAAAAACAAATGTGTGTGTGTGTGTGTGTGTGTGTGTGTGTGTGGGGGGGGGGGGGGGGGGGGG